GGGGGAATCCTTTCCGACACCCTGGCCTCTGACCTTTGATGTCCCATCCCTCCCCCCGCTGTTATTTTACATGGAACTGCTGGGGGCATCTGGGGTTTTGGGGTTTGTTGCCATCAATATGCTAATGACACCCAACTCTACCTCCCTTCCCATCTCATCCCAAGGAACTTGTTCTGGTCCCAGACCAGTGCCTGTTGTCAATATTGGACTGGATGAGAGCTAACAAACTGAAACTTGATCCAGATAAGACAGAGGTGCTCAATCAGGGGATAGGGATCCAGCCTGTATTGGATAGAGTTATATTCCACCTTAAAAAATCAGGTCCATAGTTTGGCTGTGCTCCTGCAGACTCAACCCTCTGGATGCACATTTCAGAGATGGTCAGGAAGAACTTTGCACAGTGAAAGGTGGGGCACCAGTTTTGCCCATTCCCTCAGATCGCTGTTCCGGCCATGGTGACACATGCCTTAGTTACACCTCATCTGCACTACTTACTGTAATGTGCTCTATTTGGGGCTGCCTTTGAAGAGTGTTAGGAACATTCAGCTGGTTCAAAATGCTGCAGTCAAGACTGCTGGTTTACACTGGTTACTGGGAACAAATTACAATGTCTTCACGGTGGGTGCAATTCAAAGTCCTGGTTATTACCTATAAAGCCCTATACAGCTTGGGTCCAGGCTATTTGTAAGATCATATTAAACCACGTGAGTCTACTTGGTTTTTAAGATCTTTTGGGGAGACCTCCCTCTCTATTCCATCATCTTCCCAAGCTCATTTGGTGCAGACCCAAGAGAAGGCCTTCTCAGCGGCTGTTCCAAGGCACTGCCTCGAGAAGCCACATTCCTCTTGTCTATCCATCATCAGGCAAAGACCTTTCTTTTCAGGCAGGCCTCTAAGCAATAAGTGGTGAGTTTAGGGAATGCTCCGTTTATGACATTTATATATGTTTAAATATTTTAAAAATGTTTTTAATCTTGATCAATGTTTAATTTTTTAACATATGGTTTGTATAGTATTTTAAGATATCATTATTATATGGTTTTAATTGTGAGTTGCCTTACAATTTCCCTAAGGGGAAAGGTGGCATATAAATACTATAAAGAAACTAAAAATAATATTACAGTGTTATCTCTGATTTGTCCAACCCCTTTGTTGTATCTATTATCCATTGGTAAACACCGTCAGAAAACTGTTCAAGAGAGAGGAGATCATGTTGTCTTGCATTTTATCTTAAGAATTCCTAAAGTGACTCATGCAGTTGAGAGCAAGCTGAAACATTAACAGAACAGCCCAAACACTTTCAGAACCCCAGATTCTGATTGAGCAAAGCCATTTCTCTTCCTCTTGTCTGCAGACTCCATTGCAACTCACTTGTCACCTAGAGGAAGGAAATCATTCATGGCAAAACATGGTAACCCTGACAACTTGTATGAGTTGTCAACATTATGATAACAGTAGTGATGGCAAAAGATAGAAATGCACAGATTTTTGTTTTTGGACTACAGGAACTCAAAACTGATGCATCTGTAGCAAAACCATCTGATACATTCTTATAACTGCTTCAGTGTATTTGTGCATCTGATTCCCCAACTTCACCAACATTTTGTACTTGGACTTTTAAAAATAACATTGTTTTACTAGAGTCCACAATGCCTCATGTGAAGCTCTTCTGTGTTAGTTTTGTCTAATTCCCTGAACTGTCTGATACAGACATACCAATGTCATGGAAAATGGCTCTAAGCAACAAAGCATGAAGTTAAGGAAAATACATGAATGTGTGATAGCAGCATGAGCTGTGCGTACAGATTACAACAATACATTATTCTGCATCTCTGCCTTCCTGCCATTGGAAGAAAAAACTCCTGTGGATATCCATGGAAAGTGAGAAAAGGATGCAAAGGAAGAATAAATTCAAGTTCGTAAGCATGGATGATGGGAGTTGGGCATTGCACCCAGGCATCAGGCAGGGGAAGAAGGATGGGATACCCACAACGTAACAAGTCTCATATCTGATTTTGCTAAAACATCTGAATTATTTTTCCAGCCTGTCCATTGTGGCCATTATAAGACCAGAAGGTTAAACATTAAAAATAGGTAAATTCACTTATTCCTTGGAGTATTTTGTACACAATAGCATATGCACTGAAGCTGTATTTCAGTGACTTTTAATGAATCACATCTGATATTTTATTATAATGCATAGGTACACTATGTGCTTCATTTCTTCTTCCTTAATGGAAAATGGATTTCTGATGTTAAACAAAACAGAAAAAGAAGATAAAGCTGGAATAAAAAGTTAGTCTGTCTATTGTGTTGGGCACTTTTGAGGCTCACAGAGTCATTTTCTCACTATCCTGACTTTAAAGCTCCACCCCACCCCAGAAAAGATTTTTAAACAGTAGAACAAATGGCAAATGGCACTGGACAGGGCATATGCCATTTAAAGGCTATTTCATCTACCAGTCTAGTTTCAAGCCAGAAATAACCTGTCTTAAAAAGAAGTGGTGATGACACTTTCCACTTTCTTTAAAAAGGCTACTTTGGGCCCAATACAAGCCAAGAAGGACAGAGTGGAAGGATGAAAAGGTTTGCCATTTTTATGGAAATCTGAGGCGGATGGAAATTTGTGGGAGACTAAAAAACCAGAGGTGCATGGAGGATTTGAATTTGCAGGTGGCCTATGGACTACATTTTGGGCACTACTGTACTAGTTTATACTAAACCAAAAGTCTATAATAACAAATAATTGCCAGGTGTTGTCAAGTCAATTCTGACTTACAGTGAATCTTTTCAAGGTTTCCCAGATAGAGAATACTCAGGCATCAAACTCCCAACCTATACCTACACCACTGAGCTATCCAGCCAGCAAAGGTCTACAGAAGAACTAAATCGAGAAAAGTCTAGTTTTTAGGTCTTGAATGTTAAGCAGGATTAATTTTCCCCACATTCATTAAATACCAAGGGTGGGAAAGATCTGGCACAATTAAAGTTTCAGCAAACTAGGCCCCAACAAATGATTTGATAAAATCAGCCAATAACACAATATGCATAAAGAAATGGAATACCAATAAAGATAGGTTCACATCTCACAGAAGACATGCTGACCTGTAACAGGTTAGTAGTGCAGGAGGTGAAAATAACTACATCCATTCAATTGATTAATTGCTAAAAAGGGTGAGTTGTTAAAAAGATACATAAATATTCCATACAGAGTGGGGCCCGCAGGAAACAGATCAAATGCTCATGAGGCCAAGAAACTTAATTACAGTTCAGAAACCTGAAATTCCAGTGGGGAAAGGCTTCCTTACAATAAAAACAACAAGACATCTTTACTAATCTACATTACAATTCTTGTATGCTTGCTGAATCACTAGTAACTGAAGTGCTGATACTTTAGTAAGTCTAAAAGTGCTGCTAAAACACAATAGGTTTTAGTGCTCCACCCTTAGCAGAAGAACGAAAATGCCAAAAATCAGTGTTATGCAAGGCTTTCTAAAACAATCTGAGAAGTGCAGAGCTGGAAGGGAGCCCACCCTCCACCCGTTAAAGAGGCATAATGGGGAATCAAACCCAAACTCCCAACCTCTGGCTCCACAGCCAGATGCCTAAACCACTGAGCTATCCAGTACTGCATCAGATTAAAACTCTTGTTGGCTGGGGATGATGGAGCCTATAGTGGAACACATCTGGAGGGCATTTGTGGGATATGGTAAACTTAAATATACTTTTTCTTCCAAGGGAAGTCCTTCATCAGGTGGCATCTCTTTCTTGTAACTTTTCCAGGCACCATAATTCCAAGAACCATTGCAAAAGATGACCATACCATATATTTATTTGCATACAGTTTTTAGAAAAAGAGGCAATCCTGTTACCAATTCCTTTTCTACCAGTCCCTGACATGGGAATTTGCCCATCCTCTCTTCACTGCTTTTTCACCACCACAAACCTGATGTTATTTTCACTTAACTGTCCACCACAATCTCAACAACAGTTCAGACCCCACCTGTATGAAGCTGGTGGAGGGTAGTTCACCCAGGGTTACACTGAATTTGTCACTCTGTTGCTGGCTGGTTTTGTTAAGAGCAGGTCAAGAGCAGGTCAATGCTATTGAGACTTCAGTGCCCATCACCCCTCACAACCCAAATTAGAGATACTACTAGGATTGTGCTTCAACAATATCTGTTCCCCACTCCACATTTAGGAATGCTACGGGCTGAGAGCCACCTCCTCTGGCTCTCATCCTGGTGACCCCCTAGGTCACCTTCAGATCATATCTGAATAAATTCAAGAGTCTACAGCAGAGCATGGGCAAACTCCCAGAAGCCTTTGCCACCAGCTGTGCTGGCCAGGATTTCTGGGAATTGTAGTCCAAGAACAGCTGGGGATCCAAGGTTGGGAACTACTGCTCCACATACAATTGTTTGGGAATGATCACCACTTATTTTCTTCTGGAGTCAAAAACCAAACTATCCATTTATTCATATCGTATCAGACCATATGGGAAAACATGTCCTTTCTTAGCTATAGTCTGCCAAGAGTTCCCAGAAAAACTCTTAGGTGAAGGACTTTGAAAAACATTCTGCTACATTAAATTTGGCCTTACTTTGAATTAGGAAAGGACACTAAGATAGTATTTGAGAATCTTGTGCCACTAAATCTTGTGCCACTAAACTAGCATTGCTAGTTTGCATCCAGCCAGCGACTCCCTAGATTGGATATGCTATTTCCTGTTATCCTGGGGAAAAAATGGAGAATGAAACAAGGAGAAGAAAAGGTCCAAAAGCTGTGCAAGATTTTGCTCCATAGAACAAGGGGTCACCTGAGCCTCTGGAATGTAGAGGGAAGTGCGGAGTGGGTGTCATGAATCATATGCCAAAAATGCCCAGTCTGGAAATGCCCTTAGCAAACAGATCTTGCCTTGCACCATCTAGGGAGAAACCTGCACCTCTTTGACACCAAACCCGAACCACCGACCTCTGGAAGGCCCTCCGGCGACCTACCTGGGATCCTATTGAGCGTCACCCAAAAATGTTCGTCGGGGCTGTAGGTGTCCTTCGACCACTCGAGCAAATCCAGGGCCCGCTTGTCCCTGAACAGAAACTCCACGAAGGGCCGGGTGAGGGCCACGTAAGCCGAGCCGAAGTAGATGGTCAGATTGTGGGGCGGGGGCGACTTCAGGGCCGAGGTCCTTTTCATGTAGGAGGCCTCTTTGCCGATGTGCTCCTTGTAGACGTATTTGGTCCGGACTTGGATGGGAGGCGGCGGGAGCACCCCCGGGGTGATGTTTTTCCCTTTGAACCCCTTCAGGTGCTGGACGATCTCCTTGTTGGTCCTCAAGGGGAAGTCTTGCCCGCACATGTTGAGCACGTAGGTCCACCGGATCCCGTGCCCCAGGAGGTCCTTCAGGCAGTTCAGATCGGCCTGGAGCCGCGAGATCCCGGCATAGATGACCGGCTCGGCTTTGGAGACGAGGAAAGCGTTGGGAAAGCACTCGACCAGGCTCTCCACATCCTGCCGGTACTCGGCGGGGGCCTTCTCGTCCACGTGGATGCAGTAGACGTTGTGGGGCGCGTAGAAGGCGCGGAAGATCCGCTCAAACGTCGCGAAGTCCTTGTGGAGGGTCACGATGTAGGCGACGGGGAAAGCGGCTTCTTCGGCCGTCAGGGCCTCCGTGAGGTAGTGACTCTCCCGCAGGTAATCCGGGCAGGAGGGCGATCGCCCGAAAGAGGTCCCGAGGGGGCTCCCCCAGACGAAGGCTTTCTCCCCCTTGAGCAGAGCGTCGCAGGCGGGCCGGAGGAGATCGCCTTCCCGAGGCTGGCCGGGCGGCAGCCGCCCCCGCCGCCGCTGAAGGTCTGGGGAGGGCGGCGGGCGAGGCTGGCTCTGGAACAAAACCAGCAGAGCCGCCAGGCCGCTGAGGAGAAGGAGCGCCAACAGGTACGGAGGCTTCAGAGGCAGCATCGTTGCTACGCCGGGGGCAGGAAGAGAGA